CCAGTTGGCGACCCATTGGACTGTATGGGTGTCTACGCCACAGTCCCCCAGCTTCCTAATGAGAATGGGGTGAGAGACAGTATCAAAAGCCTTCCTGAAGTCTAGGAAAACTATATCCACTGCCACCCCTGCATCCAATGATTTAGTGACCTGACTGGTTGTAGAACTGGACTTCGGCATTTTCTCTTAATAATCCCAAGGTATTGTTTACAGAAGATTATTCAGACATAACTATTTTTATATTAGAAAAGAAGCTACAGTAGAAAGGTTAGAAGATATTTTGCCTCCTAAAATTAGCCCAATTTGATCATATTTTGATCTGCAAAAGAAAATGTGGTTTTGATTTCATTCAATTCCTGCTTTATAGACTAAAAAAGGATTTTGAAATTAAGAAAGGTATGCTTACAGGGAAAATGAAGATTAATTTGTGTCCTAATTATGCGCCTGGTCTAAGCAGAGGTGGAAGAATCTAAATCAATGTGAAGAACAAGAACTACTTGTTAATCCTGTCAGATAGGTACAAACAGTCAAAGGCTACATTCAGACATTCAAAAACCCAAAACTTGAATTGATTCAATCTTTGCAGATTAGTCTGTTGTTCGTCTTTTGCAAGCGAAGATGACCACATCCAACACTCCACTCTGGACCTCTAACCTACACACATTGAACTGATTTGCAAGTGCACAGACACTGACATTTAATTCTGGAAATACAGGCACATGCCTGCAGTGGTTCAGACTAGAAGCCGGAGGATGCTGAAGCAACCCTCCCTTCCCTTTTGCACCAACTGTAAGGCTGGAGGGAAGCTGACTTGGGGGATGTGGCCAGGCCCCTGCAGGGGCTAAGTATGATTGTGGAGGGGTTTAAACCTCCACCCTGGCCCTTAGAGACCCCAGCCAAGCTGTGCCTGGAGGGAGAGAGGAGAAGCAGCCCTTGCCAGGCTTGTCCCTAAGGCCAGACACTGGCCAGGGCAGCACCTCAAGCAAAAGGGAAGAGGGGGTGGGGTTTAAATTCCCCTGTCTCTGGGCAGGCATGTGACCCCAGTTGGGGTCTGCCCAGCTTTCCCTCCCACTTTTGCTCGGGTGGCGGAGGATCTGGCCAGAGCCAGCCAGCATGGCCCTGCTATCCACTTAGGGCTGGGGCTGCCACTAGGGCTGTGAGGCTGAGCCCAGCCGGCCTGTGGGTGTTGCTGAGGGTAGAGGCAGAAGGGCAGCTCGGGCTGGGGCCATGGGGGCTGTATAGCCAGATTCATCCTGGCTCCCCATGCCCAAGCCAAGCAGGGCTGTCATGGAGCCAAAGCCACCTGGGAAGGGCTCCACGGGGCCAGTCCATGGGGGCAGGGCCCTTCCCAACCCATTGCAGCTGTGTGATGGCCAAGCTCAGCAGCACTGGTGGGGGCTGGCTGAGGAGCAGGCTACCCAGACCACCTCCGAGGTGCTGGTGAGTGCCAAGCCCAGTAGCCACCGCTGCTCCCCCTGCCTCTTGCAGCACCAAGGGCTGCAGGCACACAACCAGCTGTGGGCTGGCTGGGTCTGGGGTGGTTATTCTGCCCCATGCCCCCAGCTGCTGCTACCACAGCCACACCACACTGCTCTGGGTAAGGGGAGCAGGAAGCTTCAGCCCTGCATCTTCTATCCAGTGTGTGGAACTCCAGCTCTGGCTCCTGAACACCTTGGAAGGTGGAAGGCATCCAGGTGGAAGGCATCCAGGGGCTGCAGCCAGAGCTCCATGTGCTGGGCAGAAGCCACCAGGCCTGGCAGAACTGTTTTTCTCCCCTCACTTCCAGCTGTGACTCCAGCTTCTGTCACATCATGCAGCAGAGCTTGGGGTGGGAGGAGCTTCCTTCATCTTGGCCGCTTCAACCTCTCTGATGCCTTCCACCTTCCAAGGTATCCATTAGCTGGAGCCGGAGCTCCCACTGGGCAGAAGCTGCAGAACTGAAGCTTCCTGCCCCCAACACTCAAAGTGGCACAGTGCTGCCACAACAGCAGCAGCTGGAGGCAAAGGGTCCAGAACAGCATTCCCCAGGCCCCAGCCAGCCTGCAGCTGGTTGTGCACCTGCAGTCCCAAGTGCTGCACAGGACAGGGGATGCAGCAGTAGCTGCCAGGCTCAGGGCCTGCCAGCGCCCCTGAGCTGGCCCAGGAAGCCTGCTCTCCAGCCAGCCCCTACCTGTGCTGCTGGGCTGGGCTGGGCTGGCCTGGACTGTCACCCAGCCACTGTGGGCCAGGAAGGGCCCTGCCCCCATGGGCCAGCCCTACAGTCCCTTCCCAACTGGCTGGGCTCCATGATAGCCCTGCCCAGCTTGCACGTGGGGAGCTGTGCAGCCCCTGTGGCCCCAGC